GAATAAAGACAATGATTACGCTAAATGTCAACGTTCCAAATGACTTTGACCTTTTGAATAAAAGACGAAAGAAAATTATTCAAACGGGACGGAACCGTGATAGAACTTCCGATATAAAAATGCTCGTAAGTGCCCCCAATGTACTATTCAACGCGGACCACGCTATTATTAAAAGATGGTTGACATCGGAAATAATAAAAATGGAGATAAATACCTGTGTTCAGCCGCGCGATCCCTTTGTCTCCGGTTCTTGAACCAGTTACTGACTTGCGTAGTGGTAAGTCCCGTGCTTTCTGCCAATTCCCGCTTCTCGCGGGGTGAAGGATAGGGATTAGTGGCGTACCAATCCCTCAGGACGCTCCTGGATTTTTCCTTGAAGCAGTAAGACGTCTCTTCGCCATCCCAGATTGTTCGAGGCAGCGGAAATTTGCGACGAACGCGATACTTCCCTGCAAGTCAAACGATTTTTCTTAATTTCACAGTCGAAATGTCGTAATAAAATATAAAAATAAAATATTAAAGTGAAATATTAAAATAAAATATTAAAATGGAATCACGTTAGATGATACTGAGTTTACCGAGGAATTTTCTACGCTGTATGCAATGATAAGAGGTACTACTGTATTTTAGATATCTCTACTATTAAATGGCGGATTTTCTCGTTTACAAGCAAAATTACACTCGGCTACCATTAATTACGACCAAACAAATCCCCGGAGAGGATTACGCGTGATTTACGCGAAAGACGGTGAATCTCTAAATTACGAGGTATTTTTAAAACGAGCAACGATGCACACATCGAGTAATTCGATTTTATCTCCACCGTTTGATCTACAAATATCGCGCATTGTTTTGCATTCCCGGTTCGGCTATGAATTGCACTTCGAGACAGGGTCGTGAAAAACAAACGCGCGAGTAAAATCTATACTGCGATGATTTTTTCCTTCGTCTTTGCTAATTTTGCTAATTTCGCTAATTACTCGACGTTAATTTACTCGGGTAATTTAATTAATCAACGAGGAGGAAGCTAGAGAGAGAGAGAGAGAGAAAAAAAAGGAACAAAAGAAAAAGGGAAGGAAAACTACCGCTGACGACCGGCATAAAAAGTTTTCGGGCCAGCTCTAAGAACGTTAAAAAGCACCATGGCTACAGCAATGATTTCTTAGAAGTACAGCCAAGTTCCCTCTCAAAGCAGCCGGAAATCTTCGCGTAAGCCTCGTGTCACATGAGGATGAATTTCTTTCTTTGCTCTCTGGTTTTAGCGTACACATAGAGAGAGAAGAAGGATCGGATGACACAAATTGGTTCGCAAAAGTAAATGGAAAGATCTAATTAGAATGTCAGCTCGTTAAACTCGCCTTCCTCCCTGTTTACAATGCGCGACAGAAATAAAACTGGCAGGCCTCGGGCGCGAAATTGCGGCGCGATGCTCGTTCCTTCGCGAGATGTTTCCTTTCCGGCGCTATTATGATCGCCGATAAATTAGATCCGCCGTTGTTACGCGGCCGATCTGTATTTTTAACTCCCAAGTATTACTAGCGCTAAGTGATCGCGAAGCATCGAGAGGAACAGCGAAAAACGCGAGGCATTCGAGAAGATTTCCGCTCGGCCGTATGTAAAAGTACGTATGGGGTCGAAGAAAATCGAAGAAAACAAAGTACACGTCGTAAATGTCGAACATTTTCAATAAAATTACTCGGAAAATCGAAGCTTATATTCTACAGACTGGATTAGAGAGGTGTCACGTGATCAACGTAATGGCCGAAATATTCCGAGAGAGGTTAGGTGTCCGGATAACACGAAGGAGTCAACCGAACGGCGAATAATTTCGCCCAAACATCTTCGACTGCCCTCTAACATGCAGCGAAACGTAGAAAGAAAAGCATAAATCAGTTACAACGTGACAAAGTAGATAAACAATATGGCGGCTACAGATCGACGCACGCTCGAGCGAATAATTCGTTTCGGAGAAATGGTACGATTTTTCGATTCGAAGACGCTTTATGGGCATTTGAAATTACGCGACGCGAGCTTAGAATGATCTGAGGTAAGTCTCATACTAACCGACTGCACCAAGAGGCCTTCCTCTCAGTCTCTCGGCCTCTATGTAATGAGCCTTGAGCCAGAGAGCCTGCAGTTTCTGATGATTGTGCAGACTGAACGTATGACTCTCAAGGATCCTGTACAGTTCCTTGAAGTGACCCCGATGGAAGGCGACGATCGCCTTGGCTTTCAGCACACTCTCGTGTCGGTGCAACCTAGTGCACGCCGGCAGGGACCACAGGAACCTGCCAAGCCTCTCCACGGAGCCTGCCTGCTGGAGAACCTGGACAGACGACACCATCGCCTTGAAGACGATAGACAGGGGGGGCACACTGTTAGTCGGCAGAACTCATCCCGATCTCCTCTTATTCTAGTGTATCTTGTATGTTTCTCAATCGTAACAATTATTTCGTCTCGTATCTCTTTCGTTCCGCGAAAAGGGTGTTTCGTTTCTTTCTTTTTCTCTGAGACACAACACAACGTTTCGAACGTATACGCGTATGACGCAACATGTCCGCGGTTCACTCATCATGGAAGACCACCACACGTCGGTAAATTTATCGACACCAGCGCGCCCTTTTCGCGAGCTAACCTCCGATGCAAGACTCGTAACACGTACAACGCAAAGGGAAAAAGAAAAAGGACCGTTAAATTCTCATTACGTGTAAGCATTGAATAAAAATGAGAAAAAGAAAACAGGGGAGAGATGATAAAAGTAATAAGCTGTGACGAGATCGACGCTCGATTGCTCATTACAGGCAAATTACTGAAAACGAGCGTCCATTAAATGCGACGCTGCCACGAGTCTTGTGCACCTGCCATGGTTACTTCTTCATTCGCGTCGCCGGGTGCCACCTAGTTTCCGCGCGCAACACTTCTGACGAACGATTAATCACGATGTGTGCGAGAAATCCCGCCATATAATGAGAAACGAGCCGCGACGAAAGGCCAAGAGAAATGGCCGACAGAGAGATCGCGATCGGACTTTAACGACGGTATACGAAGTTTTCGATTGGTCGACGACAAATCAAACCGACATACCGAGCTGAACTAAACGGTTAAACGGTTCCGTTCTGCCTCGTTCCATCGAGCGTTCCACCGCGAACTCGAGAATCGATTTGTCTTCGCGCGAGAACTCGAAGCACGCACACACACGGTAGCACAAGAAACGACCAGCACCACCCGGCGAATGGCAAAAACATCGATACATCGTTCTTTCTCGAACGAATCGATTCGCCGGATACTTCGAATGATACAAGACAACTAGCGCCCACGTCTCACGGGGTGATCACGAATTACCCGTACCCATGGTGATCGTGTTTGTGCAACATCCGATAGATGTCACGCATAATTATTACTGTTTTATTTTCACCGCACTCTTTTATCGAGCGGTCAATTTAAATTTCGAACGAGAATATTTCGAATTTTAAATCGATCGATCGTCGCGATTGATCACTTAATCATGGTAAATTTTCTACGGATTTTCACGCTTTTGCCGATACGATAAATCCGAATTATCGGAAGGCACGATTCTAAGTGCTTAGGTTATACTCTGAGCGTCTTCTTTATTATGACGCGGGCGTAATTACCCGTTAAACGATTCCATTCCGAGCGGACGGCGTGGTCGTTTATCGAAAACGCAAAACATTATCGTAAATTAAACGGAATATCCATGTGACGTGGGCAAGGAGTTAAAACGTCTAGCCGTATACGTAACGCACAGATGGGAAAAGCGTGCAGATATCGACGTTCCTCGCACATTTCCTACTACTACAATGTGCACAATCTAAATCACTACTATCTATCATTATGTCGAAAGTGTTTAAGAAGATACATGGAAATAACAACTCTTTCACTCATTATTTTACGCGGATTTTTCTAATTTTTCTATCTTTTTTCCATTTTTTGGTTGTTTTTAATTCTCATTCGTTTCGAATTAGACAAACTGGAGATCTCGAATCGGTGGCCCGAGTAAAATAATCAGGACACGTAAGTAACAAATTCCGTGGCGCACACGTGGGCCGTTCGATGCGAGAGGAGCGTAAACGTCGCACACAAAACAATTTATGGTTGCAGTAAAATCGCATGAACTCCATTAGATGTGTGACATGCAAGTGAATCTTGGCGCGCGGTGCTGTACAATGTTGTGTTCACGGAACATGTCTCGGGAAAATAGAAAATTTCAGGGCCAATTTCGTCATCGCGTTCGCAGGGTGCGTAAATTAAAGCAACAGAGGTTCCCCGGTGTTAAATATCTCGCGAACAGTTGTTCGCACTGGCCAGGATGCTAAATACCGTTCCGCGAATAATTTTAACGTCGCAAATTTAGCTCTTCTATTTCCACGAGATATCGTGAATAAATAACGCGAATAGTAGGAACAATCGAGCGAGGAAATAAATCGTTGATTCCCTAATAAAGAAACTGCACCGCGCGCCCTCCCGTCGGACGTTGGTCGTTCAACACCACGCACGCGAAATCGACGTTACCGATCGATCACGGCAATCCAAAGCAAATTCAAATGTCAATTTTCCACTCGAACACTGTAATGGATTTGTCAAAAAGAACTTACCTCGCACACGCAGGCGACTTGTTCCTGGGTAAATCCAAAGCTCGGAAGATGTCCATTGCTACCGCTACCGCCGCCGGCGGAGCTCGCAGGGCTGTCTTGAGGGCTGTAACTGGTGGGTCCCGTTCCAGGACCGTAGGTAGTCACCTCGACTGTTCCAGCGGCGTGCCCCGTGAGCGGTGTCGGGGTTCCCTGCGGGCTATAATCACCGGTCGAGCCCAAAACATCCGTACCACCGGAGGAAGGTCCCATCGCACCTCCGTTTGCGGTGGTTCCTCCGTAGGCCATCATCGCGTCATCTCCGGGGCCCACGGCGACCCCTTGCACACCGTTCCCTCCACCCTCCACCGTGGACCACTTTTCTTCCGTGCACTTCGTTTCACTCACCAATATTTTTCAATTCCCTTTCCCTTAGCACGCGACGGAATTATTCTGTCGGATGACCGGTGAAGAATCCGCGGACCGATCGCTCAGCCGACGGACCAGACTGGGTTCTATGGAGAATCGTTCCGACGGCGGATATTCTGCTGCGTACGAGCCACCGGCTGTGATGAATTCGTCGATGATCTTCATACCTTTCGATGGTCATCCACGGTGCTCCTTCGCGTACGACTTTCTGCGAGGCATCTTCTTCCGGTACGTCTCGTTCGTCGTGTCGAGTGGAAGTTCAACGATCCAACACGTTCCCGCGCGGCGTGCAGATCGATAATGGACTGTTATTATAGGGATTTTCTGTCGCGGATAGTGGAACTGACGCGTAGCCGGTGCGTTAAAGTGGTCGCGTATAGTAAGTAGTTTTGCACGAGGAGAAAGCAGAGGGGTGAAGAGCGTAGAGCAACACAAAGGAAGAACGCGCCACACTCGTGACGGTATAAACGCGTCAGAATATGCAGGAAGGAGATATTTTTAGGCTACCGCTGGTAAGAGAGTTGCTGCAAGCTCGACTGCCGACGAATTCCAACGGGATGTTTCTCGTATTACGAGAGTAAAAGAAAGGATATACTCTCCGTGAAATAATAAAATCTCACTCCACAGCTGCGATTATTCTCTAATCTGCTTTCAGAGGCTGAAACGCCAGCAGCAACAGCAGCAGCCTCTGGTGGACCGATTGCCTCGTTGTGTCTGTCTTTCTCGCTCCGTATTGCTGTCTCTCTCTACAGTTTCCTCGTCTCGCGTGCTGCGCGATTAACTTGCGTTACTGCCTCCGACTAGATCCGATTATGGCAAGTTTCTCTTAGAGCGCCAGGTGCGCCCTCCTTCAAGATTATTCTCCCTCTTTTCCCTTCGACTCGCGTCTTTTCTATCTCCTCGTGGCAGGTTGCACCGTGAAATCCACGGGCTCGTGTTTCCGCGGGCCGTGGTAGGTGTGTATTTATAGGCGCTTAGTATACTCGCGTACGAACGCGCACCGGCTATTATTAGGAGCGTGTTAAATAGTCCGTTTTCTCTGTCCTCCTCTGTCCCTTTCGATTCTTCTTTTATCGGGCTCGAGTGAAAAACTCGACGGACCGTCGTCGTCGTAGTTGTCGTTGTTCTCGACTTCGAGAGGAGGTTCTTGAAAAGCACGCGACACAACCGATGCACTTGAAACGCTTGGAAAAACACACTGTTTATATCGCACTCCTAACACTCCCGACGAAAGACAACACGCGACGAGGCGAATCGGTAACCGAGTATATACCAGCGGTCACGCACCACCGAACGACGAGCGATGTGTACCAGGACTCGTGACATCGAAGACAGTCCGAAGAATGATAACGAAACGTCAAATTTCCACACTCCCTCTCTCTCGTGACCGGGCGAAAGAGAGACGTTCTCCTACGCACGCACCAGAAGGGACTGCTGCTCTGGCGTGTTCCGAGACCGAGCCACTCTGTCATGCGCAGCTAAGCGCCGATTGGCTGGGGAGTGGCCTGCCTGACAGCTAGTCGATGCGCACCACCATTGGCTGTTGGGCTTGGCTACGACCACCATCCCGCCTCGTCATTGGTCAAGCCTCGTACGGTAATAAATAAGCCTCATTACACCCCCGACTTGTATTTGCTTCTTTCTCTATTATGAATGTAGTTGAAGAGATGCGCAAGTAAATCGGTCGAATCCATCCCAAACGAACATGTTTCTTTCACGTTGCTCGTTAAGTTCTACGATTGGCCAGCTATTTAATTGTCTTCTATGAATATCTCGCGCGACGATACAGAAACGTGGAATTCGTTGGCGCTTTGCACCCGTGTTTGGTGAACTTCACGCGAGACGTCGTCGCGATAGCGGCAATTTGGAAATCGATCCGTCGAACCGTTTCCTTGCGTGCACTTCGGACGACAAAGTCAAGCCTCGAATTGTTCGAAGCGAAATATCGATCTAATATCGTTAAACTCGGTAGATGGAATGAATATTTATGCTCGAAGGAACGGAATCTATCTTTATCGTGTTTTTTGTTTTCCTCGTTTTAATTCGATCGATTTTTGTATCACCGAGTAAAACGGTACGTTAATATACATTTATGCTGTGTGCATGGAATTTAAGTATAGCAAAAGTGTATTGCCATGAAACTTTATACAACTTCTGTTATTAAGTATTTTCCGTCTTTCTTCCGTGGAGGTGTTCATAAACATGCAAGTGCCATAAATCGATTTTTCACCGTAGCTGAGTCGAACTTGTTCGCAGCAAAGAAGTGACGTTAATAACTGTTTTCCATTTACGTGGCACACAAATCGAAATATAATGTTTTACCGTCACGGTGTTCGTATAATGTGTTTCAGCATGAAACTAATGCTTTGGCTAGCACGTTGCCGGAAATAATGGAAAGCTTTGACTGATTCGTTTGATACAATGCCGCGATTTACATAACCTGACAAATTTTCGCACAATTTGATAATCATCGTCGAAACATTTTTACGTTCCTCTACATTGACGTGTTTCGTTACAAGAGTGAAACATATGATTCTCTCTGAATGTAATACTGACATTAATACGATCTCGAATTGACGCTGTCGACCAACCGAAATATAAACATTTATTGTAAATTAAATGAAAAGAATATATACGTTAATTGAGAACAAACGATTCGCATTAACGAAGATAAAATGTTTAAAATATTCGATGTACATTTTTTATATCCCTTTTTTGCAACGCAGAAATATTTCATTTATATATCCTTTATTATTGACATTTATAATATATAAAGCCAACATATACCGTTGGATTTAAATAAATGTAAAAATGTCCTAACAAAGTCGTGTGAAATATTTCAGTGCTATCTTGAAAGTTTTTAACATGAACAATACTCGGCTTTGAGGAAGATCGTATGACGCTTAGGACAAAGGACATCTTGTTTTCTCAGACCGTAAGGACTTTTGGAAAAACAAGGCTTTGCTCCCTAAAATAATGCCTGCCAACCAGATTTCTCGGCATGTCCTGGCTCAAAGCCTCGACCAAAACGTGGACGCCGTTTGTTTTGCACACACCGTTTTCCATCTTTCCTGATTGACGTGGGACGTTTCTCAAGCTTCGCACGTGTTATCGTGGCAAACCCTTCTGCTCTTCTTTCGTCACTTCCTTGGGTCATGGCCATTTTCGATGGTTATTCAAAAAAATAACTAGACGTTGGAACTTCCTAGAAAAAAAATTCACAGTCAAGTGACTTCCTTGACATGTTCCATACCGAAGGCCTTTTCTGTTTTCATACCTCTAGCACTAACAGCTAATGGTATGGGAAACCTAATGATCGGTTCGTGAGTCTCATAGAGTTTCTTTTGTTATTCTTCCTCTTTAACTATACAATCCAATTCTTGTAAAATCTGCAGATTATAAATGAAATATAAATCAAATGAAATTGTAGGAAATAACCTGTATGCGATAAATAAATAAATATTGGAATAAATACCTGGAATGATCGAGAGTGAAGCTTCTCATCTGGATTCGAATGATCCCGACAAAATTGACACATTTCCAGTGGTCGTATGCGGTTCTCTCCGTCGGGGTGCCACCCGTGGCGTCACCATTCATCCTGGACACACGGTCGAAGCGGTTTGTGGTCCAGGAAGAAGTCGTTGACATCATAATGTGACGTCTAGATGCTTACGGCTCTCCTCGCCCCCTTTAAGCAACCGTGAAATCAACCGTTCGATCTTCTCGATGACAACTTGTTCAAAAATATCCGCGCTCGTATACGCGGTCGTGTTAAGAACGATTTCTGTGTCACGTGCCGTTTTATCGCATTTATGTTCATTTCGTCAGCGAATATTTGAAAAATTATCTCCCGAGTTCTCTCTATCCTGTACATTCGAATTTTCGGTATATCGTACAATTTGAATACAATTCTTCCAATGTTCTAAAATTTATCTATTCTACGACTCATTCATCCTTGTTATTAATTTTTTATTTCGCGACTGTGGGACATTTCCATCAGTAAGGCAATCCAGCTAGAAGATTAGTAGTTACATAATCGTGTATTTACAATCGGCTGATAAAATCACGAAGTACGCAACCGCTGCGATAATCGAGTCAACGTTGAATCATCGCGAGATCCATCCATTTCTGGTGCAAGACCAGTGCCAGTTTCCAACGGCATAAACACGAATTTCCGATGTCTCGTGGGACGAGCCGGAAGAGGAAAAGAACGCGGTACAAAGCGTGTTCGCATTGACATCGATTCCCTTTGTCGACGAAGGCAAAGAGCCACGGAGACACGCCAAGGTGCAGGAAAAGAGGGGGGAAAAGGAAGAAAAAAGAGGAACGAGAGCGTAGAACGTGAAGGAAGGACGACGTGGTTGCGCAACAATGCGAAAACGCAAGAGAGCATCCAACGAAAAGCTCGTATCACGTTCCCATAAGTGGCAGAGCGCGAGGATCCCCGCAGAGACGTCCTCACGCTTTTCTCCTTTTCTCTCTCTTCCTCTGTATGCTTCCCTCCCTCTCTTTTTGGCAGCAGCACCGTTCACCGTGTGTGCGCAACGTAAAAAGGGGCCGTAGAGAGGCGCCGGGTATATGTACGTATGAAAAATTCCATGGTGACGGCACCCTGGGTATCCCGTGGCGAGACCTGAATAACCCATAATTGCTACCCCTCCATTCACGTGCACGCCTCTGTCGTGCTTGCTCGTTCGTCGTACAAAGACGTCTAGTAACTGGCCGCGACACTCGATTCACTCGGGACGAACTTTGCCCCGGGACGCTTCCGACCTGGAGATTGTTTGAGCCGCAACTATCAGCCCTGGATTGTATAACTACGTGTATCGTGATACTCCAGTTACCCGATGGCAGTGGGTTAGACATAGATGATTCGATTCGTGAAAAAATTAGGGGACACGTTTGAAGCTTGCTCGTGAAAGCAACGTGAATTTTTGTCGAAGGGTATTCCTCTAAGTGTCCCGTTCAAACGTTGTGATTTTGTTGCTGGTCCTGATATTTGAGTACGCGAAGCTTCAATTACTCTGAGTAATGTGTACAAAACATTCGTTTTTCATTGGTTTAAAAGCAGTTGACGTTTACTTTTTCATATAACCATTTCTGGTTTTACATACATTTTGCCATTTTTTTTTTTAAAGTGGACTATGCTGGGACTACATGAAAACGTCTAAGACTGAAAATAAACTATATACCTTCCAGTTTTTGAACTGTTTTTTCGAATGTTTTAATATTGGCAGGCGTTGAACCACGAAAGAAACCAGTTTGAACCAGAGGAAAAGTTATCACGCATTGTTTCATCCTGATCCTCTACTTCTATATGTACCGGTAATTCTTCGAAAGCATCGTCATTGAAACTCCAAAAATTCCTTTCTGGTTCGGGAGGTAATTTCTCCTTGTCGAATTCGTCGGAATCGCTCCTCCTCACGGTAGAATACAATCGATCCGAAGAAATATTTGGTAATTTATCCTGCTTCGTAGATGCCGTCGACATATTCATAAAGCCACTGAAGGGAAAATCGATTAACGCGAACTTCGAGGAACTCGAGTCCTTGTCCTTTGCCTGCTGTTGTTTGCAGGGACTGATGACACGCTCTAAACCGGTCATAACCTTCTTCTCGCCCTTTTTGTCCTTGAATTTCTTCTTGCACTCCTCCATCTCCTTGCGTTCTCTTTCCGCTCTATCTGCCGCGGACTCTTCTTCCGAGTGCGATTGCTTCTTCCGCTCTGTCGCAATGAAATATCAGAAAAGGGGAAATATTATCTGAAATCGTTAGCATCGGTAAATAAAAAGAAAATTACAAAATTTTAAACTAGTGTTTAAAAATTAAAATACGGTAAACAGTTACTCTGTTACGTCAAGGGCATAAAGGTTAAGAGGAAACTGGAGGGTACTTAATGAAGGCTTCCAAGTCACCTTGGCACATTTGCTGTCTCTTCTTGGAGCAGGAGTCTTCCAATTTGTTTTTACCCTTGCCAGAGGAGTCCTCTTTCTTCGTTGAACTACAATTTAACTTGTCTGAAGTTTTGCAAGGACCGCCCTTCGTACTAGTAGTAGAGCTTGACTTGCTCACTTTTTTACAGGGATCTTCCTTCTTGGTGCCGCAACTAGGCCTCGTCTTCTTGCAGGGATCTTCCTTCTTTGTGCCAGAACTGGGCCTCACCTTCTTACAGGGATCCGTCGTTATTTTGGATTTTATTTCACAAGTCGGCCTTGCTTTTTTACAAGGATCTTCTTTCTTCTTTGTCTCAGAAGTGGCCCTCGCTTTCTTGCAGGGATCTTCCTTCCGCCCTGCGTCGCGCGCTGCCTTCAGCTTCTTGCAAATATCCTCCTTCTTCGCGTCGCTTGTCTCCCTCACCTTTTTGCAGGGATCCTCCTTCTTTGCGTCACTCTTGCCCGTTAACTTACACTTCGATGATGGCCTCTGACATTTGTCGGTGCTTTCGCTCTTCCCCGTTAATTTACACTTCGCAGATGGTCTCGCACACTTATCGGAGCTATCGCTCTTACCCGTTGTCTTACACTTCGGCCTTTGACTCTTGTCGTCGGTTTTACATTTCTTCAAAAATTGCGGCGTCTTCGAAAATTTACAAACAGACAGAGAGTTGAACAATTTCGGTTTCGTTTGCTCTCCGCTTGTCCTCATCCCGATTAAAGGGATGGCGATGGCGGGCACGGAGGAATAACGTTTCACATTTTTTATGGTTTTCGGTTCATCCACGTACGCCGATTGGGTATAATTTCTTCTTCCGGTGCTGTTCGCAGACCTTCTACCGCAGTCCCGATCATCGCATTTCCTTTGACGCTTGCATGGTTCTCTTCTTCTTGGTTTCGTACAGATTTCGCGACCTCCCCGTTCTCTTTGACAACTGTCCTGTCTTTCCTCTCGTGGACAAGATCTCCTTCTCTGACATCTTTGCTGATCTCTCTGACATCTTTGCTGATCTCTCTGACATCTTTGCTGGTCTCTCGGACATCTTTGTTGTTCTCGATCGCAACTTCGGTCTCTCCTAAAAATTTGGCACATTGTACTCATTACCACCGATAATGATTTATCTTTATAATTTAGCAACTGCTTTTTAGTATTTATTAGAATTGAAAATGTCGATGTCTTTTATGTATTTTAACAGGACAACTATTCGGGAGAAAAATTGGAACAATGGAATGATAATCTAAATGATTACAGACGATTTTAATCTATTTACGATTCTAATCTACTACGCTTATGTAGCTCAATTAAAAAGGTGTTAAATCCAGCATCCGATACCTTTCTCTAGGACACTTCCTGTCCCTTTTGCAAGAACGATCGTCCCTCCGCCTCCTGGCTGGATTCGTGCAAATTTCTTGTGCCGGTTCCGTTACGTGTTCATCGTTTGGCAAACACGTAGTGTCTTTCTTTATCTCGTATAATTCCATATGCGAGTTTGTAATAGGTTTACCCTTGCCGTTTGGGCACTGAAATTTAGTGTAATCACAGTGAGTCGGTGTCTGTAGCGATGGACAGCAGTAACGCTTGCATGTCTTGCTGTCCTTCTTGCACTTCGTCCTCTCTTGCTCACATTTTCGCCTGGAGCTCCTTGCTTTGGGACAACTTGAGTCGTCGTTATCGCGACATTTCCTTGTCGGATTAGCAGTGGAAGTTGAAATATTCGATGAAGAATTCTTCGAGTTTAGTAATCTTCGTCGACCACCGTCGGTTGTTCTTAAAACCGGTAATTTCCTCAGCAAGCAGGAACTGTTCGAAGCTGATCTTTGCGTTGTGAATGGAGGATAAGAGGCAGGTGGTTTCCGTGAGCCTCCTCCAGAGTTTCCGGACATAGACGACCCGTGACCACCGGAGGGTTTCATTTGTAAGTTCTGGGGACCCCTACTTCCGGTATTTTGCTGCATCCTAGCCTGTGTCGCGGCACAAGGCGATGTCACGACATGTTGATCCTGGTTAGGTTTAGTTATGTTCAAAGCTGGCTTTGGTCTCTCTGAAATTCCAATTATCGACTCATAGGTAGCTCTGTCTTCAGCTTCATGCGATTCTCTGTTCGACATGCTCTTGTAACCTTGTTTAGATGTTCGTGGTGCGAAGTACGTGGATGATGGCTGATCGTACTGTCTCTTATCGACTGCCTTAGCTGAAGATACAGACGACTCCTTGTGTAATGACTCTTTTGGAAATGTATCTTTCATTGGTTCAGACTGAGGCATTTCTTCAGAAAATCGTGAGACGTTCATACTGTCCTCTTGTTCTGCTCGTACCTTGACTTGAGGTTTGGCTTGTGGAACAGATTTTACGTTCTCCGTGTCCTCCATAGACGACCATTCCGAAGTGTTTTTCTCCCTAACCTCTGAGAACTTTGATTGCGACGGTTTAGAATCATAAGGCTTCTTTTCTTGAGACTTAGAATCCTGCCATTTCTCATAAGATTCCATTGAAGATGCTTCTTTCTTTGCATTAATATCTGAACGCCTTTCTGCATGTTCCTTTGATACTGGGACGGGAGGTTTTGACATTTTCTTAGACGATCGAGAAGAAAATTGAGCCGACGGTTGCGTATTACACTTCATCTGCACCGTCGATAACTCTGATTTCGAAATCGGCAGATACTTAATGTTTTCTCTCTTAAGGGTAGAGCTGGCAAGTAGCTTTGGTGTCTCAGGACCTTTTTCAGTAAACATAGTCACCGGTTTATCGACAACTTCAACGTTCGAACTAGATGGAACGCTAGGTTTTCTCTTAGCAGCTTCAATCTGAACGATATTAGTATTATTGGTTTTCAACTTCTGTATGCACTCTGTGTCCGCTTTATTCTCTATAGCTTTCGCCGTCAAGCATAGCATATCCTTTTTTCCAGTACCACCACTGCACCCTGTCCTCGAACAGAGATCTCTCTTTGGTGGAATTACCTTAGTCATACAGTTACTCGACTCTATTAGGTCAGAGTACTCGTTCCGCGATAGAATATCGAAATCATAGGACCTTTCACCAGGTACGAATGCAAAGTCTCCTGCTTGTTCGTTTCGTAGGGTTTTGTACCCCTTTAATTTCCACTTCAGCGTCTTTGGCACAGGATTTCCATCCAACAGAGACAACAGATTGTCCTGTTTCAATGGCCTATGGATCCTTAAGCAACTCATGGGCGTCGATTTTAAGTCGAATTGGCTACCATACGTTCTTGGGTTCAACGTTACGGTCGTAGTAAATGCATTTGAATGCGAGCTCTTCGGAACGCTCTCAAGTTCATTGGAGGAATACAACGTAGAGGTAACATCCTTCGACGAGGGACATTTCTTGGCATCGCGGCATGGTTCCTCCTTAGCAGAGAAATCGAAGAAATTCCAGAATCGACGAGACGATGTAGACGTGTGGAGTTGCGATGAAAATTGGTAGTTCGGTACTAGACTTTTCTTTTTTCATGAAAATTGCATTAATCGATTTAGCGATAGGTGGTAAAAATATTATTGAATTATGGATGGATTAATGGTTGATACCTGCAAATTTTTAGAGGGCAAAACGTAGGGAAGATCCTGTAAAACCAAAGTCCTGATTCCTTTCATTGTTTTTACTATTATCTTTAAAAAAAAAAAAAAAAAAAAACTCTACGCTGTATCTAAAAGCTTCAGGCGTGAACACTTAGAATTTTGAACGTGTGACTATAATTTAAACGGAATATGTCATTCCCGAGTGTTCAGTGATGTAGCATTTTGTGCGATGGCTGACTGAGATTTAATTGACAATAGCAGATCGGTTAATCCACGGTTACCAAAACAGCCGCGAATCGATTTTCGATTTCCACTATCGATACATTCATATTTGCACTTATTCACGCTAAAAAAAGAAAAAAATAAAAATAATAAAAATTATCACATTTATTCCACATACACACAAAGGCTATCAAAAATTTCTGACCAAAATATACGTCTATTTCAAACTAAATTATATAGTATATCAGCAAAATTCTTTGTACAAAAATATCGAGATCGATTTATTTTAGACATAATCACACACGACAGATATATAGCTTTTTATTTTTTGAATTCATTATTTTAACAATACAATAATATATCTGTATAATGATCGTCAGAAAATTTTCGATAGCAATTGCTACTGATAATTTTGAATAAATATCAACATAACCTTAAAATTCAATTTATTTTCTTTTCTTTTCATTTATCGTCTACGGAATATCAAAATATAATTCACAGGGCAAAGGTCACTCTACGCTTGCAACGACTAGACTTTTTCCCATTATTGCGTTTTCCCTTTGGATAAGCGAATTTTAGTATTTGACTGCTAGGTTCAGCGTCCTCCGCCGGAAATCGTCTACCATTTCCCTCCTGATCCTCGGCCGGGGCCGTGTGCAGCGCACCCCGTAGACGATCTTCGTTGCCGACGGCGACAGCGCCCGGTTCATCCGGCTCAGCATCCTCGCTCGAGGATCCCGCGGCATGAGAACTTCCACCCAGGCTTCCTCGCCTTTCACTTGTGTCCACTGCTCGAAGATCGATCGAAACGGTTCCCATATTTTTGCCTCACCCGTGCTGAAAGACTTCTACGATAAATTTTTCAAAAATTAATTTCACCAAGTTCTTTTCGTCCTAAGAAATTTGTTTCCCCTAATGAACTAACGAAGAAAGGAACTAACAAAAATTATGCAACAGTAGCGTGCAGTAACAGTATCGTTTATGGTGATGATATTAGGATGAGTCGATAAGTAGAAAATATAATTGTTAATTGGAGAAAATGAAATGTGGGTAGAAGAAATTTTAGTATGTTTTATTGTCGGTAGATAGCTACGGTCGATTAGAAATCCCGGAAATGAGAGCAGAGGAAAAAGTGTGTGACGGTGGTTGTTGGTAGACTGGCATTAGTCTAGACTCGTTATAGTCTTTATATAGAAGAAGTGGTAACGTTAATCGTAGTTTAAATAGATTTATGTCAGACCATAGGTAGAAGTGATTAATTCTATAGGTTTGATTTATACGGTTAAAAGTAATTCTGCGTGATCTTTGAATACCTTTTCTTTCTCTTATACATATAAAAAATGTTTTATATCTAGCGTAAGATAGATCGAAAAATTACCAGCGTTGTGTTTCTAATAATCGGGCCCAAGGATCGTCTTGTAAATGCTCTGATTTCGTTCATGTCCAATATCTTCGAAATTTTAACTCCTGTATTCTTTCCACGTATTATTTTACACTTTTACATTTTCTAATAAGCCAAATATTTAAAAAAAAAGAAGAAACTTTTAATGCGACATTATCTCATGGTGATGCAAACAAAGAATTTTTCTTATATGCGTGAAGTGCTTCTCGATAAACAAAGAACGGTGAAACACGAACGAAATGAAATCGAAGATCGTCCTATTGAAGTTGCGCGCGAATCGAACACTAGTTCTTAATCTTCCACAGATCCGTTTACCGGTGCCCTCTTGCAGAATAATCCGCTAACTAATAACATCGGTAAATTGACACGTATAGGTTATAAGCTTCGGCATAAACCGTGTTTACACTTTCACGCGAAATAAGACGTTCTGTAGAATCGTGACTTATAAAATTTGCTAATAGAAATTTACGTGTCTTATCATCGAATTATCAACAGTGTAAACCCGTTACTCGTGCATCGAGCAATTTCATGAAAAATATTAGTTTGATTTGTGTAAAAGGGTTCATCGACTAATACGCATTTTTGCGTATCAACACAATTCGAAGGAAGAATGAAAAAGAATCACAAGGATTGATTCATTATCGAATCCATTTGCTGTCAAAAATATCGTTTCGTATCAATTAAAGATGAACCAAAAAACTGTTGTTTGCGCCGTGGTCGTTAGTCGATTGGAAAATAGCGTACGTATCGATGAATTTGGAACTTGGCCCGCACGGTTCTGTGGTACGTTAACGAAGCAAGTTTTCGTCCTACGTTCGATAACTCTCCAGGAGTAATTTAAGTGTACGCTCGTCTGTGCACTTGATTGCATATCGTTGCAGAACGTTGCTTCAGACGCGGTGAGATAATGCCTTACTTAATGAGTAAAACTTGCCTATGGTGGTTCTCGAAGCGTGGAATCGAACTACTTGGGAAACGACGGAAGGGTTGCGTTTCAGAGGATTTGCAAAGTATCCGGGTTTTGCTTAATCGTGTATTTGCGTCTCTAATTGAATCAATTAAGAGCCAAAAGGTTCTTCGTTAACCTTTAAATTGAAAAGATAGATCGAACTACATAATATATCGATCAAATACTTCGAGGTTAGTTGATCGAATTCTGAAAGGTAAAGTCTTCATTGGCAATTAAAATAATAACTAAAACAATAAAATTTCTAAATTTTTAGAAACTAAACCAAAATTCCTCAATTGGCTTTCAAGTGACTCACATATCAAACTAAGGATGCTACGTATGTACATATATCGAGATGCGGAAAAGATAGGTTATGTTTTTGGTGAGTTACCAATACTATACGATTTATGTTCTACGTTTTTTAAACAAAATAAATTTAAAAAAATCTATATTTTCATAGTCTATAATAAAAATGCGTAATTTTCCGGGAATTTTACAAATCTTTTTCTGTTTAATAAGTAACTATATTTTTATGCCAATATGAATTGTGATACGATATTACACGTTTTAATATGATTTTCCTGTGCATGCAGCAAATTGGATATAGATAAAAAAGAGGAAAGATTCAATGGCTTAATGATTTCTTTTGCTTGCCTCTCGTCCGAATAATAAAACGCCTGAAACAAGGAGAGACCGAGTTCCATTGGAGCATGCTCCGTACCGGAAACAAACGTCAACGGCGAACAGATCGATGATTCGCGTCCATGGAAACCGCGGATGGACCAATGCGAGGAGACTATTCTCCTTTCTGGACAGGCGCATCCGCCTTTTGCCTCTCGACTCGTGCTACCTAGCGAAAGAAAAACGTCTGCCAGCAATGCGAAGTAATATTTATTTCGACGTAGTGTCGCAAAAAACGAAAAGTGTTTCTTTCACTACAGACTCGTCAAAACTTTAAGCATCTTCGATACAATTTTCAAAGCTACAGGAATTCGATATTTATATAAAAATTGTTAATTCGAAGATCGTGTTGTAATTCGTTTGTTAGAGCGTTCAATTTATTTATTATCAAAATTGTCATTATTTAAGACTTGGCTTAGACTTTTTCTCTTAGAATTGTCTTTTTTTATTTATGGCAAAATATTTGTTGTACCAAGTTTTTAAAAATTCTCGATTGTAGTGAAAATATTCGAATAGGATTTTGAAACTTTTGTACAATTAATTGTAACAAGTTAATCGGTTTTTATAGTTTCATTCTATTTATTGCATCTTTTTGTTATGACACGAAATAGTACAATTTTATCTCAATGGGAAACCAGCGGATTTTATCAGAAATCATAATCGTACGCCAATATAAGCGTGTTAATCATGCTGTGTTTCCACTTTTTTAGATAACTTCAGGAGAGGATGTTGAGTTCTCAATTCGTTCTTCAAGATGCATTGCCTACATTCATATTAACAACAAGTAAAACGAATTAATCCTCGTTTCTCGATCTTCAATTTCTTGACCAAAAAGAGCTTCTCATAAGAAAGTTTCTCTCTATGAAAAAAAATGACCCGGATAACAGGTTAAATGGAAGAGGAAGTTAAACACAGGAAGTGAAGTTGGACAAAAAAAAGCAATGAAATTCAGTGGATGCAGAATTTGATATTTATGGCACAAGTAGAATTAGCTTGCGACCCTAAAGGGAAGAGATTAAGGTGATGCCTTTCTCTCCCTCTCTTTTTCTCTTTTTCTTCTTTTTCTCTCCTTTCCTTCTTTTTTTCGTCTTTTCTTTTTCAATCGATTCGACTGGAAACCAAAAGGGGACGCTTGTTTATAAACGAGTTCCAGCTGTACGGATGCTCCCCGTGCACCGATTCGATTTTGTTTCGAGCTTACTGTCAGATCGGTCAGGTAGTCCGACTCCGTATTACGTTACCAGCGACGCTCGCTCGAGTGCATTCGCTCGCGTTGGTGGCTGCACGTCACCTGACTTTAACTTTGTTTAAAATTAATTAAGCCTGAGGTGTCGGGAGGACTCGGCCTCGCGATGTCCCGATCCACCAGAGGAAAAAGTCATTCTTCCTTTCGAGATTTAGCATGGAGCCACACAGGGGTCGGCAATCATTTGTACTTAACAGTGGAACGTTGATTACAAGCGATACTAGGTTTATCTCGAGGTACAACTTGGGTAGTTTAAATAGGAAAATATCTTAAATTAGATCAGAGATTTTTAGTCACCGTCACCAAATTTATCTGAATTTAAATAATAGATAATTTAAGAAGTCTGATAAATTTTTGATTCACATATGGATGTCGTTTAACCCTAAAACTACTGATCTGCAATATGTACCTAAATATGGTAGATATACCTATAGGAATAATATTTATAATGGTATGATGGAAAAACCTGCAAGTGATGGAAAGTTAATAATAATTTTGCCAAAGGCAGTGTCGTATTTTCTACAATATAATTTTTGATTTACATATGGACGTCGTTTAACCCTAAAACTACTGATCTGCAAGATGTACCTAAATATGGTAGATATACCTATAGGAATAATATTTATAATGGTATGATGGAGAAACCTGCAAGTGATGGAAAGTTAATAATAATTTTGCCAAAGGCAGTGTCGTATTTTCTACAATTGGGAAAACAAGAAGACTAAAACCAGATATATTAACAGGTCTGGTAATTCTAGTGTTCAGAACTCGACGTTTCGAAAGAATCTAAATAATGAGCATGTAAAAATGGTAGTAGATTGTACGTGCGTGAAACGTAGGCTGCAACACAACAACAAAAAGATGCGAAAACGACAAAAAGGGACAAAAACGAAAAGCTGGTGGAAGAAAGCGGAACCATTCCTCGGGGCCCTTCGACATCTCGTTCGCTCGAGGATTTCCTTATTGTTTGTATAATCGATAAATTCTGCGCCTAGGGGAACGCATACAGGATGCTTCACGGTGCAAAAACCGCGTAATCTACTGCCGTTCGTGGGCGGGGTGGGTATCGTGCAAGAGCCAGCAACGAGACACTCGGAAGGCTATAAATCTCATGGTACGAGCCTGACTTCCGGTTTCCTTGTCCTTCCACAAAACGTTGATTCCTAATCCACTCGAACATTCGAACCTTTTCGAGAAATCAGACGGTAATTTTTATTTTTATTTTATTTATTACAAAAATCATTGGTAAATCCTCTGATTATACCGCAAGTCACAATTTCAAAAAATATTAATCTTTCCAATAAGAAAGTGGTGAATGCTAATAAGAAGAATCAATGTCTAGAACTTTAAATGTAATATCGCAAGAGTGCAAATATATGATAGACGTTTTCCACAAGAGAGTCACAGGATTTATCGATGAACCGACATTCCAACGATTTCGATGATTTAACAACATTTATCTCTACTAATTGCAGGAACAATTACAGTCTTAATTTCCAAAATATTGGCAACATTCCTTCAGTACTAACACGTTGAATTCC